TTAACCATAAGGAAAAAAAAACCCTAACACTTTCATTTATGTATGTTTTCCGTACGTATTTCTGAGACTGGACTATACAGTTGAATACAGCACATAAAAGAAGGCAGCAAAAGCCTGGCAACCACAATAAAACTGTATTTAGCTCCTTGCTCCGTTAAATCACACTTCAATATTCCCAGAAGCGTCAATCACACACAGTTTTTCCCACCACAAAATTAAGACACCGTAATGCTTTTCATCACAAAGTGCTTTACAAATCCGTGTTAAAATACAATCACACCAAAGGGCACTTCTCAAAAATAAGCTGTCTTCTTTTCCTTGGCTAGATCCTCCGTGTCCATAAATGTCACACAGTAACTAAAGCCAGCAAACCTAGGAGAATTTACACCTGTTGTAAATCTAGCCCTTTCACATAACTTCATTGGCTTTACTGACATTGCATAAAATATAAGTCTAGGATGGCTTTTAATAGCTAGCAAGTAAATATACAGAGTCATTTTCATAGTAATGTAATAAACTCGCACACTGGCATTCAGAAAATGATGCCCATAATTTAAAGAAATATATACCAAGCTAGCAGTGTACAATATATATTGTGATTACTGCGCAAAACATTCCCAGGAGCGGGTTTCTGCCCATAAATCAATCCTCCTTAACTATTTCTCTGCAAGTTCACCCTCCTTGCTCTTAAGAGTTTCCACCTCTTCCTCACTTTATTCCTTAACTGATTTCCCCAAAATGCCCACGGTAAGTGCATTTAACCACACATACAATGACGTCAAAGTGACTTATCAGAAGAGGCCAAACTACTTTCACATGATTCTCTAAATACATAGCTCCTATGATACCAATTTTTTCTCCAAAAAGCCAGGTGGGTAGTCCCAGTTTCCAAAGTAGCATTGTAAATGTGAGTCAAACTTTTCTGGAATTAAAATACAATTAAAATTCATTTTATTTTATCATAGCAGCTTTTAGAGGAGCATATCAGAAGTTTGCTCATTAGGAAAGACACATTTATCAATAGAATAATAAAAGCTTAAAAAAGGATGTCTTTATTTTTATTTAACAAACGACCCAAAATTATGTTGACAATGTTTCACATTCCTTTTAGTCTACGATTTTAAAAGCACTGCTGGTAACGCCAATATGGGTTTATGTTTTAAAAGTTCTTTAACCTTTTTTATAGACACCTTTTCTTAAGAATAATATTTTATAGATACAAAATAAGCCTTAAAAAAATACCTGAGAGGTCTTGCCTGGGGATTGCCTGCTTCTACATATGGATGTAAATAATCCTTTATGTAGAGATCAGCAGCACTATTAGAATGGGTGCAAATGAGAATCCTGCTGGAATAAATGGTGCAAATAAAAAAGCAATGAAGGAACAGAAAACAATTCAAAGCAGTAGAATACAAAAAAAAGGAAACAGTGGCCATCTTCCTGCACATTTGTCTTAATGAAACCACTCGCTAACCTACTGCAGGTTGCATGATTCAGCCCTTTCACTCAAAGCCTCCAGTTATGCAAAGATTTAGTCAAACAGCTTCTCAATTATTTTGTGATTATTAATCTAGACTCGATTTTAAGCAAGGAACAGCTTTTATTATCTAGCATACTGCAAAACTGTCCACATGGAGCAAATCACAGTCATTCTACACTGCCAATTTTCATTAGTTTTGTTCTAAGAGAAAACACAGGCTAAGACTATAAAATCACTTTATCATTTAAAACAATGACGGATGGCTTAGTTTTGTTTGTTTACAAGCTGGATGGAAATCCTATAGATCTACATTTCACCTGAATTTAAGTTTAAAAATTACATCTCCCATGCTAATCAATCCCGCGCTGTATTTAGTGCCCCCTCTCACCTAGTATCCTGCTGTTGGAGTATGTGCTTGACTGCCTGAGCCAGAGTGAAGGTTTTTCCTGTCCCATAGGGACCGATGATAAGAACAGGAGGCAGTTGTATTGAAAGTGGAGTAGTGATAGCCAGAACAGCTTCTTTCTGCTTCGCGTTGAGTCGAGGGTCCAACTGCTCATCCCATTGTCTGCACAAAAGGAGGACAAAGAGTTTACAAACAGAAGCTATGACAAGCTCCTGTCAGGCAGAAATGAAATCAGGTAAGATTTCTAAAGCTTTAAAGCAACTGAAGAGCCTGTATGCTACTGTATATGTATACTATATTGTGTCATTCTGAGGCATACTGAAACAAATCAACAAATCTAGCAAATCACATGCTTTAATCACAAACATTTGGTAGCATTTGCAATGAATCAGTTGGATTCTCCTTTTCAAAAGGAATCTATTTCTCAATTTACATTATCTCACATAATAATTAACCTTCATCGTATACATTTTTTAAAAAGTATACGCTGCACCACCACCTGAGAACAAAAACAAGTAGACACACAATGATTTTCTGTTATTACTATGCAAAATGTAACATTAACTATGCTTTTTCCCTGCAGTATTTACATTGTCAACTTCAAAAAAAAAATGATTATGCAACCCCAAGGCTTGGTAAAAGTTATCTAAGATTAAATTTAAAAACAATTTAAAAACTATTAGCTACCAGTTAACTAAAAAATCCTCTTTCCTTTTTTTTGGGGGTTTTTGTTTAGATCATTAAGGCACATACCTCTAATGGGAAAGCAGCCTTAAAAATGATTTTGCTGTAACCAGTTAAGTGACAGCAGCTTTCAGAGCAAGATGCTTCCAGAAAATTCCAATGAGCGTAAGAGGTTAAAGATTTGTAGACACAGTTATAAAGATTCCCACCGACAGATTTAAAAGTAGACATGCACAGTAAAAAGCACCTGTCACGTCTGCACATATGGCCATTCTTCAGTAACGTGATCTGCTTTGGTACAAAGCACTACGCTTCTCACAGACTGGGAAAGTTTCTGATCAGCAGTAGTTAGCAACAGGGAGTAAAATCAAGAGGGAACTGACTGAATTCCTAACTTTTAAGACAGCTATGAACAACAAGCTGGCAGGAGACTCTAAGAAATGTTGGAAAATAACAGGGATGTAAAACAAATATAGAAGAAGAACAGAGGGAAAGCCAGTTTTGAGTCAGTCCGAAGTACTCATTGTCAAGGCAGGGCAAACCAAGCACAAGATGGTAAAAAACCATGCTGCTTACACTGACTTAAAGTGAACTACAACCATTATAATGTATGTATATAAAAATATAAAACATGATACAAATAAATTATATCAACTACAACTGATATGTAAATTCATGTCATAAAATTTATATTTACAGAAAACAGAGAAGATGAAGTTCTAGCTTACTTGACTTAGCTTCCCTGTATTGAAACCACTGCTTACTCCCAAAGTAAAATATACTATACATTCTTCTTTCCTAAATGTCCTCTTTGAGACAAACTATTTTCCCTGCATCACTCTTAAGTTTCCCTAAAAGTGTTTCTGTAACATAGGGGTTTATATTTCATAAAGGAAACCCTATATACGAAGAATCTCAGGACTGCGTGCAAGTGCAACGCTGCTCCTTCCAAGAATCATTCCCACACGTTTCTTAGTCATCGTTCTCAGTGAGGTGTCCAAGTTTGGGCTCATTACATCAAACCCGAAAGGTACAAACCTGACTGGTATTTACTTTCCTATAAAGTATTGTGCATATTTTCAGTGAAGAAGAGCAGAACAGTAAATAGCAACAGCAGATTTGTTTTCTACAGCTACAAAACTGCAATGCCTACAAAAGCCCAGCTCAACCGCAGGGAAAACCAATCAAGAGATTCTCGTTCTCACAGGATCAGTTTTCTTGGTTTATTTAGGAGTTTCACTTCTTTCTCTGCAGCACCCTCCCCCTTAATGAGCAAGGCGTGTTTCTTGTTCTAGGGCAGACTTGAGCCATCTGTTAGGAGAAACTCAGTGCTGCATTACCACACGATCTTCGATACTCAAGCGTTTGTACTCTTGTACCTGTTGGGACTCCAGGGTATGGTGGGAGTCATGCTGACATCTGGAAACAAAATACTGTTGTCCTTAATCCTGTCCAAGGCGTAATGCATTTCACAGAGGGGTAAGCGATTTAACTGAAACTGAAGTTCAACCTGCAGCGCAAAATGAATGAATAAATGAACATGTGAACCAAAAATGATTAATTTAGAAAACACTCATTAGATTTTGCTGCATATGATGCGTTTTTATCTTCCTGCAAACTACTGGCTCTCAGAAGAAAAGAGCAAACATCATTCAATTAAAAGATTCGCTATAAAATTGACTTGCTCTTTTCTTAAGTAAAGATAAATAAAGCATTTTCTCTAATGTAATTTTGTTGTTTAAGGTTAAATTCCACTGTACTTTCAGGGGAAAAAAAAACCAACCATAGAGAAAACATTCTTGGAATTATTTTTGGACTACATAAAGCACTTCCAGAAAGCATTGTTGTCCTAAAGCATTGTTTTTCAAAATACAACCATCCATCCTTCATTGCAAAAACAACCCTGAAACAGTGACAGGCAAGACGTTTTTACAGATCAACAGATGATGTAAATCAGAGGTGTGACCTGCGGAGGCAAAACCCAAATATTGTTTATTTCTAGGCAAACCTCTCGAATAACATAACTTGCCATTTATGTGCAATTATGAGAAGTCTCCAACAGTTAATTTCTAAAATTGGTTGCTTGTCAATGCATTCATTTTTTCTCTCCCTCAATTAGTTATGTTGCACTACGAGTAAATAAAAGATAACGCCAACGCAACTCTGGGTCAAAGTCAGAAACAACACACAGAGCACCTGAACATGAACAACAGCTAGTGACATTTGTTTAAACATACAAATACTAAAAGAGCAAAGAGAAAAATACATTTTCAATATGAACACTGTAAAAGCAGCTCCTGGGGAAACAATTCATAAAACCCGTTCACTCAGATTATCATTTACACACATTTAAATTTGCAATTATTAATCTCTCCAAAACCAAATTAACCTGATCAGAGCATTGTGCTGAAGAACTAAACGTTAACAGCTAACACAGAAGCCTTCTCCTCTAACATTCACCGATTCTCTATTAATCAGTCCATTATTACTTTAATCTCATAATTATTGGTACCAACCAGAAAGTTCAACAAACACAGAGCAATAGCAGAATATATTTTGGTAATTATCTTTTCTGACAACTTATATTAAGACTTTAAAAAGCCCATGTCAACTAAAAGAAGTTTTCCTTATGTACTACGAACAAACTCCAGTCTGTTGTATTAATGATCCCTGTGGTTATCCCAAATAAGATAGCAAACTTGGGGGAAAAAGGGGGGAAAAAAAGCAGACAATCACTTCTCTAAACATGACATGGCTCATTCAAAGCCATATAAATTCTCTCAAGAACCCTCTCCTATGGAGGAGAACATTATTCCTCTTATGGAAGAATAATTTAGCCTTCTAGATTTAACAGCTTACTGGATCTGATGCTCTTTAATCTGCCCACAAAGTCAGTTCCAACCACAGGGATCACACCTGTAAAAAAACCCCTCCTGTGCACCAGTAATGGTCACTGCTTGAAGATCATCCCCTTCAAAAGGACTTGCAAAACACAGCTCTTGGAATTGTCTTTTTTCTGGTATATTTAAATATTACACTGTGCATCTGTAGCATGTAAAATGAACACGAGCTTTGCTGTAAATAAACAAAGTTTGCCTGTATCAGTGCAGGATGTTGCCATTAATTTTCAGTCTCTGCAGATACGAAGACATTAAATATTCATCTTGACTATCACAATGTGTATAACCATAACCCTGAAGAAAAGGGCAGTAATAAACTTGTACAACATTAAGCATGGAGTTCACTGCAGCGATTTTAAGTTCTAGGAAAATGTTTTTTAAACAGGATACATGAACACTTAAGAGTTGTTTTGCCCCCCCTGTTGCACTGTGCACTTTATGCCACCCACGACCTCACTAAACATCCCGGTCCCCAAAAGCAGCGTGGTTTAGCGCTTGTCAGGGGTGACAGCATCACCTCATCCTGCCCCAGGGGGACCTCGAGCTCCCTTCCAAAACTGTGTCCTCCCCATCCATACCCAGTGCCCATTTGTCTGCCCAAAAACATCCCACAGGTGTTTGGAAAAAAGACACACAAACAGCAACGGTGCCAACCTCCCAGTTTGACCTATATAGGAAAAATATCTTTGCTCAGACAGATAAGACCAGGCAATATAACAATAATTTAAATGCTCAACTGAGCCCCATTAAACACCTCTCATTATCTACCTGCATTCACCACTTGCTTTAACAGCTTGGGATTTGTTTTGTTTTTAACCCAGTTTGGACTGAATCAAATAGCCCAGTTTGCTGTTGCACAGTACTGAATGAGGCCATCTGTGAAGGAGAGGCTTTAATATATATTCCACAAGAAGAAAACAGTGGGAAAGGAAGTTAATCCACTGCCAGTTTCACACAAGAGGACACGGAACAGAGAAACCACTCCAAAAATAAAACAGTCGCATGTTAGTTTGGTCACCAAAAAGAGCAGCGGCCAAGAGGGTTTAAAGCAGCAGCGCACCGCAGCCCACCTTCATGAATGGTGCACCTGATAAAAGCAGAATTGTGCATTTATTAGAGTTTAGCTAAATTTTTTTCATGAAAACGCTACACATCCAAATTATACCACCTTCAGTTCTAATCCGAGGAGCCCTTTCCAAATTTTCAGTCAACACTTCGTCAGAAAATAATTTCCTCACTATTAGAATTCATTAAAATACAGGTAACACTTTAAGGATTTGACCACCAGTTCACTGATATATAATTATGAAGTACTAAATGATTTTATAAATAGCTTTAGGACCCAATTTTTACTGCAGAATAGCCTTGCTGCCACAGGCAAAGTTTTCTAAGACACTCCAAGAAAAATAAGGCAGCTCCTGAAGCCCCAGCTCGTTTTGCATTCCAGTGGAGTTTCTGATAGAATCAATTAGTAAGTTTAATTATTGTTTTAAGAAAACAAACACAAAACCAAGAGCCCAGAACAACATAAGTCTTCCCAGACCAATTATCTATGTTAAATTAAGACATTAGGATTCTTGCATATGCTTCCCCAAAACAAAATGAATGGGAGGAGATAATCCTTTGGTGAAAATGCGTTCATTTCCAGCAGTTCCAGTGTCCTTAATGTGAGGTTATTTCTGTCTGATAACAAGATTAATCAGAAGGTCTACAGCAGACACACACTGGGGATGGGTGAGGAGTTTAAGTACTTAACCTAACTAGAGCTTTAACTTTCCCTTTTCACATCTAATGCACTATCTTGTTTGCAAACTACACTATTAAAAAAATAAATGTATCTTCTTCACCCATTTCATGTTAACTGCAAATGAAACAAAAGCCTGGTCTTACCGCCAACGCAATTTTCTCTAGAAAAAGCATTATAACTCCTCATTTTGCAACTGAACGCCTCCAAGACAGATAAATACTTGTCTGGGATGCGTGTCAGAGGAGCGAGAGCCATGGAGGCAAGTATTATTAATCTGAAACACAGGATATATATACAATAAAAGTCTGTGTTCACCTTCCTCATGCCTCGATCTACCAAACCTCATCATTTCCATCAAGGAAATATTCCTTTTGTTCCGATACAGGCATAGAAAGCAGCACAAGGCCCATTCATAACCTCAACAGACCTCATCAAAAATTAATCTCACCTCAGGCCTAGGAACAAACAGCAGAATCCACAATGGCATAAAAAAAAGGAATGAGAAGATACAAAATAAAGAGTCCAAGATGCAAGTTATCAAAGGCCGAGTTCTAGCTGGCTACGTCAAGAGCAGCAGAGTTATTTGGGGTTTTTTTGAGGGGAAAAAAAGCACAGGAATAGAAAACTCCCTCCTTTGATTTCGTTACGAAAAGGTTCCTGAGGGCTCTGGTGAGATGGACAGAATGACACAGCCATATCAGACACTGAACTGGAGAGAAGTCCAGGCAGCAGGAGCAAGCATTAAATTCAGTGCCTTTAGAATGAGAGAGGAAAGGGTGGGTAGGTGTGCTGGAAAAAAGTCCAGGAACTACCCACAAACACCTACCTGCAATAAAATACAAATAAAACAAAGCTTTCCTTTATAAGGCCATAGAGAAAGAGCTTTGTATTTGAACTAGAGACATAAAAACGATGTCCAAGACAGCTTATAAATCCCACTCTCAAAACAATGAGATAGGCAAGCAAAGCCTAATCAACTCAGAAGAATTTTGCCACAACTGAAATTCTTTAAAATACACTTTTACTTCGTAACAGTTCTAAAATATTAACTTCTTCTCCAAATAAGACGACTCATCTATACGTACAGCACACGCGCACACACATACATGTATTTATGCATAAAAAGACTTCACGCAGCTGAAATTCTCATCTGTGCTCTGCTTTCTGTGTGCGATGATGAATAACAAAAATCCTTTTTGTATCTTCAAGCAATCACTTTGTGTGGAGCCAAAACAGACGCAATGCAAACAGTGCCCATAAAACCACTTCCACTCCGACTCACCTGCATTTCACAATCTGCCCGAAGATTAAGCTCCTCACAGCATTCCCTGGATACCCTCAAGAAGATATAATCTTTTGTTTTCTCCTCAATAGCTGCTTCATAAACCTTCTCTTTGGTTCCTTGGCTCTGCGCTGACTTCTCTTTAGTGACAGGCAATAAATAAACAGCATTGACTTTGGTCATCACCAGCCGTCCAGCCAAAGTGTCTTCCGAAAGCGTTTCGGTGAGCTTAAAGCGGCCAAAAAGTTGTCCGTTTTGGGCATACTTTGCACCTCCAGAAACACCAGTGAGCATGAAGCTTGCTACAATCTGCAATTGCACTTTGATGTTGAACCTAAGGAAGAAAGCAGCCAATGAGTGCAGGAAAAAAAGCTCTCAGATTCAGAAATTGCATGCATTTGCACTGGAGATTCACTGCCTTACATTCTGAATGTATAAGTTCTAAACATAAACAAGTATAGCCAAATCGGCCCTTTGTAAGTACATAGCTGTCAAGTGTTTACACATTTTCCTTTTGATTACAGCCTACAAAACATATATTCAAAAGAACCAACAGCTATGAAGCTTAAAGAAAAAGAACCTTTACAAGACAGAATAAAACACTCATTTTCTGAGAGCAAAGATAAGTTTAGGGTGAATTGAGCTGCTGCGCACATCCCAAAGCAGTAAAAATTTCTCCTTAAACAGTCTGTAACATTACATTAGATATTCAAGGAGTCACAAGCAGGCAAAGAACAGAGTAAGATTCCTATTTATTTCATGGATCTCTTCCAGGCTCCACACCAAAGACTGCAACCTACATCTTAACAGGTAAATGGTATTACACCTATAGTTCAGTGGGATTGATTAAAATGCCTCCAAAAAATCAGAATGTAGGCACTGAAATGCAGTAATTTTATTTGAAAAGGGAGAATGGCATCGGAGGCTCAGCCATATGAACCATCTACCCACACAATTCCTATCGGCAGCAAGTTCCTCCTGTAACCAGAGATGTCACAAATTCATTCTCTGTAGGTACCATTTTCTAGAAGTCACAAGCACAACACATTAAAGAGACTTATATAGTTAATATTTTAATTATGTTAAAACACTTGATCAACCTCTCATCCACACTCAGTAATCTCCTCCTAGAGTATTTGAGGTCTTTTAAACAGATTGCTTTGACCTGGTTTTAAAAAGAATCAAAGGAGAAAAAAAAGTCCATCACTAACAATATTCAATTCTCTTCTCACAAGCAACTTTTTCCCAAATTTGCAACAAATTACAGGAGGAAAAAAAAAAAAGTAAAAAACCAAAGGTTTTCACAAATTAAATAAAATCTCTTGGAGAAAACTCTCATTTTCTTATAATATTTTTCAAACTTACACTGTTTATATTTGATCCGTTGTTCTTATAATTTCTATCTTAACCTAGTAAACTGATAATTTAGCATTTAAGCCTTAGTGTCAATAATCATAAATCCATAAGGTAGATGTAATCAAACATCCACCAAACCAAGGCAATACCTTTTTTTCTTATCTGGCAAACCAGGAGTCTTGCACCAAAACTGCAAGTTCGCCCCCTCGCGGTAACAGCTGCTCCTCCACATAATTTGGGCATTAAGTCACATCCCAATTTCACACCTCCCGACTCTCAAAAAGCAAGAGGCGTCTTCTTCCTGCACACGGATCCGTTCGGTTCATCAGTAACCACAAGGTTTACTGCATAAGCTACGCTTAAAGCAATCACTCAAACACAGTAGGTCAGGGAGTGCACCAGAATTAAGCGTAATCCTTCCAGTTCCCACACATGCTAAAAAAAACCCCTAAAACTAAATAAAAACCAAGCTTCTCCCATACAAGTGCTTTCCTATTGCAAAGCAGTTATCAGCAAGTTAGCAACATCTAAACCAGCTCATATCTCATTCAGATGCTTGTTAAAATACTATATTAAACATTTAACACAGTAACCAAGTGCTCAGCATTATTACTAAGATTCAATCACACCCTGGTATAAATTTATTTTGTTAAAACTTTCCTAAAGTTAAATCCCTGGGCTAGTGCATACACATCAGCTCGTTCTCAAATTCGGAGTTGTAAAAATGTGCTGGCAGACAGAAAACTGCCATTCTGAGACAAGGCAGAAGTTAACGTCTTTCTAAATGACTGACGTGAATCCGCTGTGCTAAAGGGAATCGAAAGTTTAGACATTTTCAAGCAATTTCTATTGAGGAAGCTGACACCTTCTGGCAAACGGTTAAACTGCAAAACCCTCTAAGGTTTAGATTTTTAAAATCCAGAGTTGCTTCTTTCATCCATTCCTCAACCTTGCTTTGCATATTTGTACAAAAAAGGGGTTCCAGGCATGCTTATACAAATCGAACAAACCAAAACTTACGTTTCCTCCTAAGCACTGCAAAATGCCAGTGTAACTGCAGTGTTACTGAAACTAGCTACAGAAAACCCTGTTGTTCATATTTAGAATCACAGAAATTCAAGAGAGACGCCATAATTCATTCATTCATCCAGTATCAATGTGAACAGTAAATCCCCAAAAGGCAAATAAACCCATTCTGAACAGAGCCACATACAACGATTTCTTAAAAGTACATTGAGCGCATTTCCTCTGCCATTTATAGATGCAGAGTTCAGACAGGGTGCGCAGTGTGACACCTACCCATGTACTGATAAATGCGAGACATGGTAATGACAAAAGCAAATTTATTTTCCGTCAAAGCCTGTATTTGAAGTTTTCACAGCCTTGAAGATTAATCTGCTCTGTAATTCGGGTAGCAGACAGTGTATATGGAAGGAGCTGTATGTCACCTCGCACCTTCTTTAATGTTCGTACCAGAAAACACGCAGTAAGTTCCAGCCACCCTACCAATTATCTGCTGCTTTTCTTTTGAACATGCAAGAGAGAAAGCAAGAGCTTAAAACCATCAAGAGATCGTACATAGGGCAAAGCTTTCCAAAACCAAATCAGTATCTAGCTCAGAACATGGCTGTGGTTTTTCTTACAGAGTATGTTTGCATTTGGAAATTAGACTGCAGTGGCTCCTTTAGTCTAACCTTTATTACCTTCCTTTGTGCTGCGCTCATGTGGAGTAATTTTTACAGATGTCTCCTGAAATACTAGAATAAACATGATTTAAAAGCAAAGCTTTCTGAGACTATCCAGAATGAACTCCCTTATAACTGAGCTCAAGACTTTTTAAAGTCACTGCAACCTTCACCCAACACTTTCCAGTAGTTCCACTCTGGTGATCCCACGTACCACATCTTCCTAGAAAGTCTGAAATCAGCAACATTCTTAAAACCCAACAAATTCGCTCCAATCTGAACCGCAGACACTCATTTTATTCCAGTCCTGTCACAAGAGACCACATTGACAACCGTACCACTTGCACAAGACACGTACACAAACCCATTAGTAGCAGCTCATCAACATCTCCACTCACGGCACCACTTCAGAGGTATTACAACCCACTTGCATTTGTATTTTTGGGCCCATTTCTAGGCTTGCAACCCTGACGCTTCACTAGAGAATACCAAGTGTGTGATCTCAGCCGCAGAGGAGCAGGAAAATGTGCTACTTTGAGCCTTGGTGCACTGAAGTGGGTCAGCGACAAGATCAAAAGAATATTTCTGTCATCAGCGCTATCAAAACAGAAGATTTCATGCACATTATTAAAACTTACTTTTTATTAATCTACTAGATAGAAAAAGAAGAGCAGTATCACTGCACCACATTGTCCAAAGAGGAAGCATTACACCCACGATACACTTACTATTCCTTCATTTCTACGGGCACGGTGCTGTCTGGTTTCCTACGCGGCATGAGAGTGTAATCCTCAACGTGAAAATTCACTCACTAAAAATACTGTTTACTTCTAGATCATATTTCATCATGTTTACTCTAAGCCCACGTTTTTTAAAAAGCCTTAGAAAAGTCAATCTGATTATAAATATGCATGATGCAGAATATTTCTGTGCGCTGAAAACAGTGTTCGAGGATGATTCCTCTACGTTAGACTCCAGCTCAAGAGCAGAGCACAGCAGTGATGAAACATGTGAAGACAAATAGTTCAAATATACTGTCCTTCATCTGAGACACAAAAGGAACTACTTTTCTGCTTTAAAAGTATTGGAAATACATAGTACTTTCTTCCTAAATTCTACAGAGGTGATTCAGCTGAACCTCTGCAGCTACAGGAGTAGTTCATCTTAAAAAGACATTTCTGATTTGGAATTTAAGTAACTGATAGAACTAAATTTGCTACTAAATTAGGTTAAAGGGAAGTTACACCTTTTTGACTTTCCATTCTGAGCAGTGAAACCCTTTAAAACTGTCTTGTACCACGAGTACAGGCAAAATTTTTAACCACAAACTACAGAAAAAAAGGCCCTGTAAGAGTCCATACATGGACTGTACTTGTCCATGCAGCTAATTGTTGGGTAATATGTACATAGTATCTAAAGATATTACAGAACAAAAACAAAAAATGTATGCATTCATTCATACACATTTCAGCTCTAAATAGGTTGAAAACCAGCTTGTGAATATAAGGTAATAAATATATAGTCAGCTACCACAGCACTGTAAGATCAGAGTTTGATCCACCCATAATTCAACATCTTTCTTTAAAATATTTATTTATGTATTTATTTATTTACTGTACACTCCCTCAAGGCCTTTTATACAAAGATTTCACATATTACTTCGCTATAACCTATTTTCACCAAGGAACAAAAAATATGATTCCTATTACTAATATCCTTTTGTATAGAGAGCCAAAAAACTATAAACAAAAATAATTATTCTCCAGACATTAACAAAACATTGTACAATACCCACTTAGTGCCTCCAACCATTAGCATAAACTGATAATATACAATTTGTTTTAAATGAGTTACCAGTAAATTACATTTAAGTGCTAGTGACCTTTATCAAAAGCTCTATTTGTAGACTCATATTCAACAAGAAGACTTAGTATCTTAAACAATCCTGTAGGTTTAATGAAAAAACACTGCCCTTTTTCATTTTAATAGGACAAGAAGAAACATCTAAGAGGTATTTTCATAAAGGTATCACTTACTTGCTAACTTCCTTATACTGTGCTATTTCCTCTATATAGAGGAGGTCGTGGAGCCGTGCCTGATAGTTGGTCTTGGTCAATGATTTGTCCAGCACAGATTGTGTGAAGAGCTGGTCAGCAGAGAGAGGGATTTGGTATCTGGTAAGAAGGCTCTTCTCCAATTCAGTAGTTTCATTAGGCTCAAATTCTACAATAGTCTTAGAAGTAGAATCCCAACGCTTTGCTGTGGTTAGTAGCTGTTGCCGTGCATGCATCAGGTATTCAAGATCTGGATGTAGATACGTAACAGAGAAAGGGAGTGAGTTCAAACTCCATGTGTGTTTGGTTTTAATAATAACAACAACAACAACAACAACAGTATAATAATAGTAACAACAACAATAATAACAATAACAATAGTAACAACAACACAACCCACAAAGACCAAAAAACCCCACTACTAAAAATAACCCCATTAGAGATGATGAACTAAATGTAGGTAAGAGTCTCCTCTGCCCACAACAGCTTTAGTAAGTTCTCTGCTTGTAATTAACAATCACCATCCCTACTTTTCAGGTGCACCCAGAGAGCAAGCAGGCTCTCAAACAATGTCAGAAAATAAAACAGTCAACAGATTGCAAATAGAATGAATACAGACAAACAAGGAAAGCACTTTTATTTTAAGGACTGCTAGCACCTTTGAAGGACTTAGCCTGACAATGTGCTTTCAAAGCTTAACTGCAGCATCATCTCACTTCAAAAGTAGTGAAGAGCCATACAATAAATAGTATAAAATTTAGAAGGTAATAAAAGACAAGTTTATAAAGAATCTGGTATTAAGTCATTAAATTTGCAATACTGGGAAAGACTTTAAAAAAATTCTACAGTACTGTATGTGTATTCTGCAGACAGCTGCATTATACAGCTATAGGTTAGTTTGCCAGGCAAAACTTTGGCAATGTAATCTAACATGATATAAAGTTAGAAAATTAAAAGGAAATTAGGTATAATTAAGTATAAATTAAGTAATTCAGTGTACCCTAATTTCAGGGACCACAGAGCTTAAATGAGAAAGACCAAGCACTGTCTACAGCCACCCAAAATATATCCATTAACACCATTAACAAAAACACTATGACAACAGCGCATCACTTCACAGAATTGCAGTTAAATTGCAGAGCTGAAAATATTTGGCATTTATAGTGAAGCTATAATATCTTAATGTATTATCTCTGAGTAAGGTTTAAGATCGGTATCCAGGATATCACACCAACGCTGAAAGATGTGCAAAAAAGACATTTTCAAATTCAAATTAAATACTTGACATCATCTTGACTGTCTTTGTTCTAAACAGAAGGAAAATGGCTTTTTAGCAAAAGAAAGCTCCGTTCAGCTTGAGATGACTACAGGAACACAGCTTCTCTTATTCGCTGTCTCCTACGTATGTGTTTGCTAAGAAGCCAAATTTAAATATCTACCTCAAGCCTAAACCATATTAGTAACTACAGCTGTATGGCAAGAAAATAATCCATGTTTATGTGATTTCTGTGTTTGAAATCATCTCACCATAAATGAAGCTTTCCCTGGTGTTACCCACACCTCAGATCACAAAAGCTCAGTAATTTTGCTGGGATTGAGTAGACATTCACTAGGACACCATTTAATTCCCAGCACCAGAGAGGCTTCCACTGGAAACCCAACATAAACAGTTCCTGGCACAGATTGCGTGGACAATGACCCTGTCTTAAAGAACATTTGGTGTCATCTCAGTGTACAGAAAACATCTCTTGGTTCTCTTTCTCCATAGCAAACAAAGATTTCAAAATACATAAAGGAGGCTCCTCCATTAAAATATTTTAAAGTTGACCTTTCTCTCCTGCCTGGATATGTAGACAGGGCCCTGAATTACATGCAAATGTGGAGACCTCAGGCAGCTTTCTGTTTGAAAAGTACATCCAGGAGATCCCAATCCATATATAACAAAAGTAAAAGAAACACCGGGATTGGACACCCATCCAACAGTTTTCCAGGACCATCCATTGGTTTGACAGTAATTTGGACTTTACAAGTAAGTTATGGCTTGGTTTTCCTAATCTTAACCAGGTTTAGGATAAAAGGACACCTGTTCTCCACAAACTCCATGTCTTTGGAGGGCTGTCAGCTGGGATTACCCACACTGTACATGGAGATCACGTAATAGCTCCTGAAAAGACCACAGCCCTGCATCTAAGCATAGTTTCTCGTTCTCAGTGCAATATTCTCTGCTTCAAGAGACATTACAACCTGAACAGTCTTCCTGCTCTCAGCCACAAGTACTTGGGTCACCTGGAAAGATCAGTTCATGATCTTTGGTATTTGCTATTTACAGTTGCTTTTTGTTAATGTTGCAAATGTTATATGAAAATAAAGGCCAGGAACTGCTGTTTTTTTAGTTTCATCTTTCTTCCTTCTATTTGCTTTTTCTTCTTCTTCCTTCTTATATCCCAGTGCTACAACTCTGTTTCGTTGGTGTTTGTATCTCTCAAATTTTCATTATAAACTACCACATTCCATCTTACCCCCTTGCTTGCTGCCAAGTGACACAGTGACCTATATTTAGCTCTCTCAATCTTTTACCATAAAACAAAGCGCTTCCTTTTCTCTTACACCTCTTCAAACATCTTTCAATTTGTTGAAGTATTTACGATTACGGAGTTAATTCAGATTTAAACTGAGAAGCACAGAACAATTTTATAAACAGAATACAACCCTTACAGTAACAGGTAGTGGGTTTTTTTACTGGAACACAAAGTATAGTTACACTTCCTTTACATTTTGAAAAATTCATGTCAACAGCAATTCATTGAGTTACAAGCCTACACTTTGCCTCTTGCCTTTGACAACTCTAGTCAGATATTGCAAGAGGAAAAAAAAAACCCTTCTCAGAGAGTCTGCTTTAATTAATGAATTAATTACAGGGCATATCCTTGTACAGAAACACTTCATCTCTCTACTCACCTTTTTCTACATTTAACATTTTCATTGATACATAAACAACTACAAAAACATAACCATACTTCAACTTCCAGTGCTGCCTTTGCACATATATGAAATTAGAAATTCCCAGCATTTTGACAAGACTTAGGAGCCATATCCTGACACAGAGTAATAGTCACACTCCAGTTATCTGCCTTATTTAGGCCCTCTAAAGCTTTTGTCCACTATTTATATTCATATTTATGATTAATATAACACACAGTAAAAGACACTTGCTAGTTGTTAATACAGATGCTGTTCTGCCCAGAAATGTGAAAATGAAAGAGATGGCGTGAAAGACTTCCAATATTTTAAAAAAATACATAATAATTTAATACATTACCTTCAGTTGAAGCAGCATCAATCATGACTCGTTGCATGAGGACTGGTTCTAATCCAAAATCAAACACAACAGTTTGGCGAAAAGTTCCAAAGATTTCTGTGTTAAAGGCTATACTGACTTTGTACACATAATGATCTATTCCGTTCTGGACCATCTTCCCTCCTATCCATTCCTGACAGTTTTCTGGAACTTCTTGAGATACCTGGGTAGTGCTGTCTCCAGCAGATATTGCAACGATACTAAAATGTGGACGATGGGCATCGTAAAGCAATGCCACTCGATACAGCATTCTTGCAGGCTACAAAAAAGATGCAAAGGTTGAAATGACAGTATGTTGGAAAAGTGAAATTATTTCTGCAGTATCTTCATTTGCAATCAGATAATGAGAGCTTAAAAGAACTCTCAACGTCCCAGAGCAGGTACAAGTCCTGCCTCTTTCCAGAAATCTGGGCAGTTGATGCGTAATTGCCAGAGCTGCTGGGAAAAGAGAGAGAAGGGATGGTGCTAGGAAGTTTCTCTATTTTCAGAAGAATTACGCAACTGAAATCTTAATTGCAAAAGGTTATGGACTGCATTCTAGTTATTATTGACTCGCTTTCAAAAGATAAGTAGTCCTACCTTACAAGTGAGAGCAAATGTCCACGTCTGGTGGGACTTTTTGGTGGTGACAGTTACCGATAGCTCAGGATTATGTTCTACTCTCACTCCTTCTACACATTCACTAAGCTAGATTAAAAGAAAAAGAAGGTAACATTAAACTTCTACAGACAGTATCGAAATAAACATTCAGGAAAAGGTAGTGTTTTTTTAACAGAAAGGGGAAAGAATGGTTTCCGAGATTGTGCAGGACTGATGCAAGTCCTCCATACAAATGAATGAAAATATGTGCTAATTCAGAGAGACAAGCAAGCCAAATCTACTACATCATACTGTGTAAGCAAAGAATAGAACCATTTAAAGACAGCCACAGGACTTGATTTTCAAACACCAACTTAATTGTAAATGTTTAAAGAAGAACATGATTTCATTTGGAAAGAAGAATTGGATACAACAAGGCCCAAAGACTGCATTTCCAGAAGACCCCAGATCTCACTGACACCAATGAGACCACTACAGACACCAGGAAACTAGAATTAGGATTTCTACTCATTAATGCATTTTGCAGAAAGCCCACTCTTCCCAGATTTTAATCAACAATAGATGGACCGAAAACTCCTTAGGGTCAGTGGTAAGTAGAGCTGGTCGAATGTCGCAAAACCCTTCTTTGGAATTGCAAACTGCTGCTAAGTTTGATCATATCCATACCCCACACCTTCAGTATTCAAACGTTTTTGAACACTTAGGGGATTGGCTCTTCTTCATGTAAGTACCTGTAGCTGCAGGCAAAAAGGAGCCATTCAGGTGTACTCTCCCCTAAGTCATGAAAGCTTCACCATTTATTGATCTCCAGTTTAAAAAGTTCTGCCATCTGGTCAAGGAACATGACCACCACCATGAAACTTGGCTGCTCCATCCTGCACTAGGAATAGTAAATATACAAAATGAACAAGCTGCGATTAACCCATAAACTGCAATTCACAAACTCTACTGAATTCCTGAAAAGAATGAGTCCATCTGCAGAAATCAGCCTGTCCCTGGTATCTCCGCAGGAAGACATAGGGCAGGATGGAAAGGGGAGCAAATTGGTTGGACAATTTCTTGGTAAGGAGTAATTCGACCAGCTCTGATAGTAAGGGCCAAAAACAGGCTCATCTGTTAGTTTTAAATATGAGCACATAGGGAAGCAGTATATTTTCCTTACCACTTTCTCAGGAGATAACGAATTCATCCATTTCTCAATCAAGGTTTCCATATAACTGCCCGAACACTGTTTGTTTTCCTTCTGCTGTTTTAATCTGATCAAGCGGGAAGCATATCGTTTTTGCCATTCTGTTAGCTCTTCCTGGGAATGTGCTGAAGTACACTGTGCACCGTACCTGCAGATCCCTTGCTCTAAAAATCTACATAAAATAGGAAAAACGATTATGCCTTGAACCTTTCCGTCTCCAATTAAAAAAAAGAAATCTATCAAAATTGTACTTTTAACGCCAGAAGGCAATCCTTGAAGTCTCTCTCAGAGAACGAGAGGCAGTTTAGTCCATTGGAACCAATTTGGAAATACATATACATCTACACAGCATTTTGTAAGAGAGGCAGAAGCCTCTCTTATTGCAAATTCCAGAAAATTATATCAAATTTCTTCAAAATATAGGAGGACACAAGTCTTCTTAGGAAATTTCCAGCTCCAAAGAAAGAATCAAGTGTTTGTACCGCAATTAACACAATGAGATCATGGACCATCCCTGAAATGTCTCGGCACTGGATTAATATGAATAAAACTCTGTTAATCAGGGGCAAAGAGAAAATGTATCAAATTTCCTCCAATAATTATGTTATTAGCTGACAAATACTCATTCAGCAGTCTTTCCTGGAGCAACAGTGACATCATATGGTCCTTTCCACTAAATACACCTACACAGAAATCACCTCAAGGAAAAGGTTTCATCTCCTTCTTTGTAAAGGGTGTATGAGTATAAAAGGATCCTAATTTGCAGAGGTTCAACATTTTTCACTTAATGGTATGTCCTGATGCATCAAAACTGATCTTCCAAATGCCTGTATACAATTTGAGCGTTCTAGATCTCAGAAGTTATTGCAAGTCTGGGCAAATGGCTGTATTACTTGGGAGCTATTTTTATCATTAAACTTCATATTAAAATTATAAAACATAGGGCAGTAGCTGCGCCTTCATCATTCTTCACAACTGAAGCATTTAAATAGATGACAAAATGAGGAATCAAATGGAGGGAGGTAAGTTCTGAAGGTACTAAGAAAGTATTGCATATACAGAACAAACACCAGGCCAGAAGGCTGGTTTGTGTCTTTGCTTTGCGTAAGGAGACTATCAAGAGTTAATGTAAGCATCACATTTATTATAACTAAAGCCAGGCAGAACGATCTCTGTTAGGATACTAAGTTTATAGAAACTCTGTAAACATAACTATATTGGAATTTCATGTGGATAACTGTATATACTTCTATTAAGAATCTCTTCCTACAGTGAGGAGTTACTGTAAAAAAAGAAAGGATGCACCAAGACTAAATGAATACAGCAAGTCAGGACCCCCATCACTGCTGATGAGAGCAGAAGGCGATCAGTGCTGAACAACCTTGCCATAGTCAATGTATTATGTAAAGTAACGTGAATTAGAACACCAACTTTGAGCTACGTGACAAAAACAAATAACACCCAACTACAACGTGAAAACCTTGCAGCAAAAGCACCTGGATATCTAGGCCACACTTGCATCAGTGGTTAAAATTAGATTTAGCATACACTTTTCCTTTAAGAAAAGTTTAAACATTTAAAGGTTTGTGTGCCCAAATGGTAAATAAAATACTAAAGGTATTCGCAAGCTATGTTCCTTAATATATTTTAAACTAAAGTATTTTTCTTGGCAGTCAGTTTCAATATTCTTATTGTTAATTTTCCAATTCACCATTGCATTAGAAAGCTAAAGTACAATTATGATTTTCATGGCCCAAAGTAAATGGAGTGCAAGCATAAAAAAAGAAAAATGTTGGCCTGTTCTTATAAGCTACGTAGCAGATTAGTGGTTCCAGTGGTTTTCTCTCTCATTATTTAATAGAAAAGCATATTACTTTAAAATTTGTCATCATTATGCAAGTTTTCCAAGCTCTCATCGTTCATATTTTTAACAGACACTGCTTTTCCTCATTTTTAGTTTCTTATTTAATACCTCCTGCAATTCAATAGCTTCATTATCTAGAATAAATATGCTGTACTCCTACTGCTTTATGGCACACAGGGGAAAAATAAACCATAGCTTCAAAAAATTCATATTCAGTACCTGTAACTGCCTCCTCATAAGGGGCTAAAGTCTTTAGTTCATGGTCAGAATGACACTGCTCATGTGGATTTGCTGAGTAAGGCACATCCTTCTCACTGTAAGGGTTAACAGTGTGCGTAAAGCTAATTACAGCTTCAGTGGGAAAATGTTTCAGAGCAATGGCTAGAAACATGGAATAGGTGTTACTCAACAGAAAATCATCACAAGCTAAAAACTGTAAATATCTGCTTTTTAAAAACTGCTGAATATGCATCAGATATGGTAAAAGTCAACAAGAGATGCTAAGATTTAGCATCTCTAGAAAATCATGCCAGAGGTAGTCCAAATTCTGCGATTCAGTCATGTCATTTTAAAAGCAGGTCAGATTCCTGATCGTGTTTTCAAATTAATTAATTTGCATCAGTTACGTATATGGCAGAATCGGGTGCATAATGATGGTTCCTTCCCATGTACATTAATTCTGTTTTATGTAAGTAATGTCTATCAACACCGCAAACTACAGGCAATATTGACTAGGAGAATGAAAAAGACAAGGAGGAGAAACTCCAATAGGAGCCATTGGACCTTCAGCAAGGCAATTCACTCTGTGTATTTAATCTTACACAAAATGGAAATAATGAGATCCGGAGGGAAATCCTACAAACACCTTTGTTTTTTAATTTGAAGACAAAGCCTGCGTATCTGAAGGCACGCACCCTACCTGCTGTCAAAGCACACTTCACTGTGCTCCAGTTTGCTAACACTGGTATCTGTGGGAACTCTTCACATCTCTGAAATGATACAAATTAGAAGGCAGGGGGAAAAGACCCCGAAATGCTGACGTGTCACTAGGAACAGGGTCCTCAAACCACTCTCTTTTGAAAATGGAGCTAGCGATTCCACTTTATAAACTTCCTTATCAACTGACCCTTCCAAAAATCTGTGACCGAATCAACTCCTCTTCTAGCAAGTGCCTTCCTTTTCCTGACCTCTTTACCATTCTGTCAGCAGCTAAATAAAAGAGGAAACATGATGATCCCTTGGAGAATGTTGATCTAACGCAACGACTTTACCTTTTACATAGTGTATATTCTTCACTGCTTGTGACTCCCCTGGGTGGAGGGCGGAACTGCCAGCCATCCCGGCACCCTGCAGAGTAATCAAAATTTAGGTTACTTTTCTAATTGCCAAGCATTTCTGAGTCCAGGGAACCGTACCTCTAAACATCAACTGAAAAAGCATTCGTACACAAGCAAAATTATCCACCAAAAATTAATTTTCAATCCCTAACAAGTTCATTTAGAAGAAAGGTCCAACGGCTATGAAGGTAAGTTTCAAACAATTTGCAGAATGGGGCAGGCTCTGATACAGCACTCTGAATTTGGAGGCAGAAATTTATATATATTTATTGGTCAGTCCATGAGGAGATAATTCTACCTCAGTCCTCAGGACTCATCACGATTTTCAAGCTCCTTTTTATCGTTCTGACTACTGTGCAGGGCTGAGCATTCAGCAGTATCCAAGTCTTCCCACTACAAAATGAAGTAGCTTCAGAATTAAGTTACATACCTTCTTCTAAATCTTCTACATGATATCCTGATGGTACTTTACCAGCTGCCTACAATCATATAAAAAAGCCCACAGTTATAAAGGAACACAAAACAATTTCATCAACAAGAACTGTTTTTGCTTCATAGCTGTCAAAATGTTCTTAGAACAACCGATATATAAATAAAAGAAGTCTGATATCACTTCCAGTCTCAAACATGAATTTCATATTAACATCGCAACTGGATCGCAGCCACTGATAAAAGGAATTCTGACGGGAACTGTCACTGAATGAGTCCATTCATTGTTAAAAGAAAATTTTAGGGATTTTTACAAGACCAAATTCCATGCTGTGATCACTTTAATGTGGACTGCAGTGAAGTTTTGAAAAGGCCAAAAGTCTACACTGTATTGAGATTCTTTCAGCTTTGAATCTACATTAAAAATAAATCCCAAATCAACAACAAAGCACAAAAAGAAGAATATAAAAAAAAGCGGCAATTTCATCAATAGACAAGACAGATGAACCTTGAATACAAGGTGACTGAGAGGGCATTTCTATTTGTTAACCAACTTCTTAAGTCATGTTTATTATTTCTGAATCATTTCCAACAGAGAAAAATACAATAAATACGACAGATCTTAATGCTTTGAATTCTTTCTGCTCACTACTTCAAGACAGTCAACAACCTATTAGCATCTTCCTCTATCTTCTCATACATCATGCAAGATGAGGATGAAAGGTTCCTGAATAAGCAGGGTGGTAAAGACTGACAGAGCAGTGGAAACAATGGCGTTTGAACCAGGACACTCACAGTGAGTCCCCATGAAAACAAGCCTTTTGGCTGTCTCAGGTACTGCTCATTAAGGAAAAGATTTCCAATAATGTGCTCATTATTACCTCTGTTTCAGCAAGAAGTGTTTTCAGGCGTATGAGATCTTTAGTCACCATCCCGTTCTGGGGGGAGAAAGAACATTAATTCATCAAACACATCGACATCCACACGCATTATACGACAGCAACAGAGTTCATTTCCCTTCTGCACCACCACCAAAAGAAGGGCAAGAGGGAAGAATTAATTTGACTTACGATGTACAATTTTAACAACATAACACTGAGCAAACATTACAGTGAAAAGGGGAATTTTACACTGCCCAAAACCAGCACGCATCAATACGGAAAAACGCAGAAGAGCAGCATATGTAGAAAAAACTGAGGGAAAATAATTGCCTATGAAGTTAAGCTGTCACTCAAGATAGATATTAATAACTACATATTTACTGATTGCTATCCTCCAGAACAGTGCTCTACACGCACAGTAGCCATGGAGGCAGTGCAGCCCAATGAGAGCCATATGCACAGATACTGAAACACTTCAGCTCTGAAGGAATCAACACAATAAACTGTCAGCACTGCTGTATGGATTAAATTCTTCTCAAGGATCTACTTTATAGATTACTGATTTCTACAGTTTCTGTGTCATCATGTAATCTTTTGAGTTTTCACTAAAAAGCAACGATGAGCCATGTAACTAAAAACAGACGCATATTCAAGTACATGTGAAGTAAAAATCTTTCAAAATTGAATTCATCTGAAATGTAGCTAAGTGAAACAAACTTCACACTCGTGCAAGGCAAAACTTTGATCAAAGGAACCCAGACCTGTGGGTTTTATGTCAATAATCTCTTGCAGAAACTTAATTAAGTGCTACTAGGTTTGTTAGACCTCTCCATATTTTGACTGAGCTACTGAGCAGCAGCAATTACTCTCTTTGCTGAAAACTTACACACCAAACAATTCTCAAACTTAGGGTTTTTTTCAAAATCATTTTTCACTTCTTCAGCAGAAAGGCTGCAAACCGAACCTGTTGAGCACAATTGTATTAGAGTATTATTATCTCAAGTCATTGGGAGGAAACTGGATGGATTCCAAGTGTTCAATAAATTCATTCCAAAACTCTGTTTCATTTTTCCTCTCAGACCCTGGCAGAAGTCAGTAAATCAGCTGCTGATTTCAATATTTCTACTGAAAACAACTGCGTCTAACAACCTAAAGCCTGTAAAAACCTCTCCCAAATTCTGCTTTGGGACGACACTCCAGAATTAAATACGAAGGTACCTTTAATTTGCACAACAATAGCTAAAAACAAGGGCCCTGTACGTTCCCTGTGAGCTTTTTTTTTCCTGCAGGCAACTTTCCTTCAACCTCACCAGGAATTTTTCAATAAAACTTTTTTCTTTTTCATTAGAAACCACCGGCTAAACAAAGACAAAAAATCATCTTTTCCTTCTGTCACAATAGCCAATGGCAGGGGGAGGAAGGGAATTCAGGATACCTACCAGACAGACAAACAGCACTCCCTCTCAAAAGCAACCACTGATTAAGTTAAGCACCAAGATATAGGAGACATGATCCAATTTCAAAGTAATAGGCTCTCCTACAGCAGTTTCTGATGTCAACCACACATCCCTCATGGTCTGACCAGCTCTGCTCTTCTCTGTGCTGTGACCACGTTTCTGGATTTAGCATCACCAGCAGTTCATGGAGATGAACCGCATGCTATTTAATCTAGATTAGAGGAGTAAAAAGGACACTATCCTTTGGAGACATACTTATGTCCCTGATTTTCACCATACACAAGGGATTCTTCTCGTAACAACTCTGAAACACTGTTGTAATGCAACAACCCAGGCACCCTGATGACACAGGCGTTCCCGTATCTTGTCTTCCCATAGTTTATCTTCCCACATCTTTGTCTTTTTCACAAATTTATGTTGCAACCTGCCAGTCCGACATATGTTCAGAGTTTGTTATTAAACACATCTTAAAAACAGAGAAATACAAAAGTGCTTTTTAAATTACGTGGACCGCAGCAAACCCACTTACCAGTGATTCACCCATCAGTGATTTGGAAAGAACATTAGACACAATTTGCAGCTTCCCTTTAAGATGCATGCAGCAGAGCACCGCACGGAAAGATCCATCTCCCTTGGCCAGCCCCTCTCCCAGCACTGCAACACAAATCAGCAACCATTAGCTTCAGCACAGTATTCATTTAAATCAACTATACACAATTTTCCTTCACTTTTAATGTGAAAGTTACGTCTGAAACTTGGGTTGAATTCACGGTTTCGTGGAAAGACAAGTCTTAGACGTAAAGGAAGTATCACTTGCTCTTGTCTAATATTAACTTGAAACTTGTCTCTCGCTGTAGGAAATGCTGTACAGGAGCTCAAAAAAGGTTATAATGTTTACATGCTAAAAAAGACAAAAATTAAATATGGAAAGGGTAAATTCAAGTATCTGACACAGACACAAAGGACCTCCTCTTCACAGGAGGGGTAAAAAAAAAATAGCAACCAAGAAGCTCTCAGTAACACAAACATGCTCAGGAAGATCCATTCATGCTCACAAAAAGCATGCCCTGGCGTTTCCAAATATAGCTAACCTCCCCGTGGCCAATTCCTGCTACTTTAAAAGGGCTTTTATTCACTTACGCTGCGAAGTGCAGGATATAGGAACGACTGCTGGAGTCCAGAAATGTACAGGCTCCATGTAACAGAAAACTTTCCTAATGCTTTCTAGCACTGGATCAGATAGCCAGCCAAACAGACACCCTCGTTGACACTTCCAATAGTGAAAGGATTTATTTCATGACACAGACGTGCTCCAGACAAGCAGGAACAACACTTACTCGTATATATTACCTGTCCAGAAAATGAAATGTCAGAGCGACTAAAAAAGCTAGAAAGCTACGCATGTGAGTTGAAAAGAAGGCTGGACAGTTGTTTAAAATTACAGAATTGCAAAGTATTTTACTGTTATTGCAGGCAACGTCAACATCGGTGTTTATGCTGCTACTCGTGCAGATGCAAACAGCTCCTGTTAGCGCCAACAGGAATTTTACATTCACCACAACTGCAGGGTTACATTCTAGAGTAATAAACCAAAACTCCTCACTGAGCTGACGTTCACGTCACTAACAGAAACTGTGTGAAAGACTAAAGAAAAAACAGTCCCACATAAAAACAAGCAGTCATCTCTTCCAAATGAAATGGTAACTAAATCTTGTTTATAAAGTGCCTCACAGATTGCTCTGAATTCACCGCTCTGATGATACTGACCACATTTCCAAAAATAGAGCTTAGTTCCCAAATCAGAAGCAGTGCCAGAAATAGCTTGAACATGTCTGACAGTTTGCTATTTTAACCTCAAAGATTAGATGCCAAATTATGATCTTTCATATCATTAACTGCATAGAATTACCAAGCTAAAAAATACAGTTGCACAGTAAAAGTTACAACACATTAACCAGTATCTTTTGTTAAAGACCTGTGGAATAATTTAACAGATTTTAAGTTATCGTCATTCCTTCTAGCAGTGCGAGCCCCACAGTATAGGGAACATACATTTCTCTAGCTATTCTGAAATGTACTTATCACTCAGGTTAAAATAAAACGCTGTCATGGGTATGCAACATGTCAAGCCTTGTAAGAAGGCAGAACAGCAACTTGAATAAACCTGTCTATTAAAAAAAAAAGTGAGTATCAAGGAAGTGTGAGTATCAGGTAGTTCATACTACGGTTGTTTCTTCCCAAAGGTATTTCAAACATAAAACTAAAACTAATACCTTTCAGGATCACAAATGCAGATACTCCAAACTATCAAATGCTGGGCTACAATTGCTACAGCACATCACACAGAACCACAACCAAGCAGTGCTTTCATGTATTTGTAAATAAACATGGGGTGATGTATACAAATGTATACAAATATACACTGATCCCATTTTTATACACGTACATATATATGGCATTAACAAATTGAAAAATGTCCTCAGTTTTAGATTGGGAAAAAATATTTGCAGAACATGCTGGCATGAACTAAGGAAATGAACATTAAACTGGATGCTATTTCTTTGTTACTAACATAAATCTGAAAGCTGTGTTCTCATTAATTAAAATATAAAAGGTAGAGATCAGCACTCCTGTTCCACCCACTTCTGTGCCCGCCCAGAGAGAAAAAAGTAGTTAACATGAGAGCTCCTTAAAGATCCTGATAACTGACAGATATGCCCTGAAAAAGTTTGACAGATGAATGTCACCCATCTACCCCGTGACAAACCCATCACACCTCATCAATGAGCACACTTTAATAAATGGCATTCTCCCTCCCATCGCCTTTAACCACCATTCATCTCCCCATATGTCTCTCTTTGGCTTTTATTTGCTATCATGAAAGACAACTGTGAGCTTAGTCACAATGTTACATCCTTGGGATATAGCAACAGATAAAAGAAGCAGCTTAAAAAAAAAACCTGACTATTTTAAGAATGGTACTGATTAAGAACGTTCAGCCTTTTAAAATTTGTTAAACTTTAAATCTGCATCTACAGAAAGCAAGTTTACTTTTCTTAGTTTCCCCAGACTATGACAAAACAACCAAAACTAAACCAAAAAAGCAACCCTAAAATAAAATACAAAACCACACAAAACCAGAAAGGAACAATTTGGTTACCAGTGCCAGCACAGGAATGTCACAGCAGCGTATCACACAGGCTGCGTAACAGAACTGTGGTTTGAGGAAATCCCCCTTAAAACACAAGAGTACTTTAAGGAACCGAAAACTGAAAGGTGGGATCTACCCACCTTTTCCAAATCTAACTGATAAACTCTGCTCCAGTGCCTACCATACTCTGCAAAGAGTTCCCAGTGAGTTTTGAATCACTTGCATTATACAGGAATAACACAACTTTATCCTTTAAAACTACCCCAACCCACCACAGCAGTGGAACATGAATGGCTCAACTTCAATGCAACATATGCACGTTCAGCAATTTTAACAAATAGGAATAAATCTAAGTACATCATCTTGATTTTCTCTGAATCAAGTCCCAAAATGCAAACCAAAACAGCCACCACGTCCCTAGGCAGCAGGGTGGAACAAGCAGCTCTCTTTAATTTCACCAGAAGCCCAACAATACCGATTCAGCCTGCACTGTATACACTGAAGTATCTATGAGCCCAGCAGTACTGCAGTGCCCAACACCCCATTGGAGTTCTGGTGCTTGAAAATCAGTTACAAAATAGCAAGGTCTTTTAAGAAAAGAAAAATTAGAAAGCAGATACATAATTTTAACTAGGAAAAAAATATTGTTACCAAACTTCAAAATCTGGGCATCATTTTTAAAAGTTCAGACAACTGACTGAGATACATAACGCTACATAATAGAAAAAGAAATAAGCATACCATGCCTACAGTCTTCATCTGCTTGCCCATACTTTTTCTGAAAGGTAAAATATGACAAGTTTAAAAAAAGGCATTATTCCAGTTAGCACAAACAACTCAAGTTTCTTATAACTCTCAAGAATCCATTACCTTGTCTTTTCCTGGGTGGAACATGTAAAGAACATCAGTCATATGTCAAATATCACATAATTAATTCTTAGATTGCTCTTTCTCAAATTCTCAGCAAATGGGCATTTTAAAAGAGGAACATGAACGGGCAAAGGTCTAAGTTTATGTATGTGTTTGTAGGTGGCTCATAACATCTAGGAAAAAACACAAAAATGTAACTTTCTTTTCTAGCCATTCTATTTTTTTTTAAACTTGCACTAATGTGGTGCCACTGAAATTTGTAAGGTGTGTATTTTAATTCACTCAGTCTTAGCAGTGGTGATTTTAAAAACTACTTCATATAGTAAAAGCAGGAAAATTTTGATTGATTGATTGATTGATTGATTGATCTACCAATAAGCCTTTAAGTATCTACATAGTCCAGGTCTTTAATAGGAAGGTTTTCATTACAAGTATTTTTCCAAACCCCCCTGAAGACTTTCTGCAATTATTTTCACTTTGATGAACACCCAGGTAGGTGCCTCACAACATTTTCAAAGGCATCCAGGCCAGAAATGTATTAAACACTGCTAAGCATCAACCTGCATATTGGCCTACGTAAATAATTTTGAGAAGTCGAGTCTGCAGTAACATAACTTCCATTAAAAAACAAAAATATCTTTGTTATTTCTGAATCTCTTCCCCTGAGGAGCCATATGATAGGTCACATCTTCATTTAAGTTTCCCACTTGTTTTGCACATTGAATAGCCCAGTTCAGCCATCTATTTAAAGAACATTTTAAAATGCTCCCTAATCAGATGGGTAAGGTTTAGCTTAAAACTGCCCAGCAAGGCCCTACAACTTGGCCAAACCTTTTCCACTTGGGATGAAACTGTTCGCACCCCATACATGGAGATTTGGGGTGGACAAGGCCTCCTTAAATCTGTAATAACATTTTCAAAACAGAAAGGTAAGGAAAAATGTAGGTTTGTTAAGTAGCTGTAGGTTTATTCTTAAGCACTGTAATGTCCTTTAATTTAAGAAAGCGTAGCGCTCTGATGCTTTAAAGGAAGGACACAAATTTGGCACTGGGATCACCTCTAATTCAGGGTTGTGCCTCTTGCCTTCCATTTACAAACATTTACAAAGACCCCAGTTTTCACATTTCCATTCAAAATCTGAGAGAGCCTAGAAGTTACACCTTTCATGAGACATGCTCCACCCTAGCAATGGGAAACCAGCACATGAGCAAGTATTCAAAAACTACTGTTAGGCCTGTGCAAATGGAGCTAAAATAGGTATGGACTGGCTACCTGAATTCTGGCATTTCTTAACTTTGTTTTTTGAGTGCTGAGGCTTGCAACTTTAATTTTATGCTCTTTAAACATAAGGTAATTTGGTATGTAATTCAGCATAACTGTACAAAGATAATACTCTATAACCAGATCTTTTGCCTTCCTGCAATTTTATATATATATATAT